CTCAAGCAGTTCCACCCAGCCCTGGGGCTGTGGCATTAAGCATGCGCTGGGTAAGGAGGCTGGCTGGGTAGTGCATTCTCAGAGGAGTCAGGTGATCGTTGTTGGAAGGCAGTCACTGTCCCCTCTTTTTTGCCTCGGGACAGCTGGTTTTCTATCAGACTCCTAAGAAGTCTTCCTTGCCTGCTGGTAGGGGAGAGAGATTATGCAGCGGGTTTTTGATTGATCCAATGGGAATTGCATTGATCTGGTGTCTGGCCTTGGTTCTTATCAGGTGGATCACCTCTAAGGTAGGCTATCTTTATTCTTAGGATTCTTAGTTTACATATTTGATAGGAATGAAATAGCTGGACAAGTTCACTCTCCTTTTGCCTCAGTTTTCATTTCCTTGATGAAAAGAGTTGAAATGCTTAAAATGACCACTTGTAATTTTTATATTCTTACGAGACATTCCTCCCTCAAGGGCTTTTTATGGCATCTTTCCTTAGTATTATTCCCATACTGAAGGCTTTATGTTTAAAGAAATTTAACTTTTAAGATTATAAAATTAAACAATTTAGACTCTTGGGATACATATTTTAAGTGTTCTCTCTTGGAGAATTTAATAACGTGTATATGCAAAGGGTAATTAGTAAAGATTTCTAAACAATTATAAACTTCTTAAAAACTAAAAACCACCTTCTATTATGTTCTCTTAAAGTCTTGCTGCTGCTAAAATATGTGCCTTAGCTATAATACGTTATATAAATGTAAGATTTGATATATATATTGTTTTTGAAGTTGAATTCTAAACATCAGGCTCAAGAAATTCTCGATAGCATGCTTGCTAGTTAGGCATTTGCCATCTGGACAAGGGTCTAACGCTAAAATAAGGAGCATTTAAGATTATACTACTTGAAATTATTTTTCCACATATCTGTTAAAATAATTATGTCTTTGATCCACCATGCAGCTTTTTGCTTTCTATGTTAAGAAACTGAAGGCTATTAACTTAAAATTTGTAAGGCTATCGCTGTTTATTAAGCAAAATAAAGTTTCTATAAAGCATGATTTTAGTTTCAGCTAGGTAATTTTTAACACTTAAGCATAATGTTTTCAGCATAATTGACGCTTACTTGAAGGCTCCTTTTAGTGAATATGATTGAAGAAATCTCTTAAAGAAAAACAATGTACTAAAAAAAAAAAAAAAAACCCTTGTGTTTTAAAAGTTAAGAATTAATTTTATTGCCCCGAACAGCTATTTACTTGTTTTTAAAGGATCAGCTTGCCAAGTTATTGAGTGAAGGTCAAGTTATTATTAATAATGCAT